CAAAGTGGGTTCGTCGCCAATCCGGGGAGTACGTTCCCTTCAAAAACGTTTGTACGCTTTATGTTTAGGCTGCGCCCGCGCAAGGACATGAGACCACGGTGAATGCATAGTCCGTCATGGGTGAAATTGCAATGCCACATGGCCAGGAGGCCAAACCAAAAACAAAAATCGCAAGAAGACCTAGAAATGGGGAACAACTGAGGCTGGTCCTCTTGCCTCCTGGGCGCTGGCCTAGCTGTGCTGCTGGGGAGGCAGGAGATACTCGAAGGTGGAGCTTTGTGAATGCCCCTTCATGCGGGGAAATCCTGCAGAGCGGCCAAACAGCCAACAGGTAGGCTACAGGACGAAGGAAGCCAAGACATGTCAAAAGAGGCTAGAAAACAGCGCTACAAAGGGCCACGGCTACAGAAAGGGATATTTTTTTCAGTGAGGGGCATCTACGAGCTGAACCTGGCTAGGGTGCCCTGGGCCTGTGCCTCAGACCATACGCACGCGCGCGCGAACTTGCGCGTGCACGCGGACTTGCAAGTAAACCAGGCATTGCCAAGGTGCTATGTGTGCTGCATCCCCAAAATGGCGGGGTTCCTTTTGGTTGTCCTTTGATTTCCAACCAAAAGGGACCTACCGCAACAAAAGCCACAGCCACGTTTGGTTCTGCAAGACTCGGCTGACCGATCTCGAGGCGATGGTCCTCTCCTCCTCCTTGAGCTCTGCGGCGGGATTTGGGTGTGTCTTAGAATCGGCCCCCACAAAAATGTAGCGGGGTTTCTTTCCGTTTGCCCTTACTCAAAAAGGGGTGCCATCAAAGAAGACACCCACGTTGGGTCCTCTTTGGTTTGAAAGAAGAAAAGTAACCTTGGAACTTCTTTCAGGCAAGGGACTGGTTCTATTCTAGCGGAAAGTTAACAACTTTTTGCTGTCAATGCAGCTTTGCATTGGGAGGTGGGTCACATTTGCAAACTTCACTTGGTTGAAAGAGCTTGGCTGGTAGATTAAATGTTTGAACTTGGAGTTCAATTGGGAGACGGGAGAGCATTTATCTAGCTGGGAATTCTGAATTCAGGGGTTTTGTGGCTGCATTCTCGCCCCTTCGGAGACAAGTGCCTGCAAGGGTTCGCCATCAAGGCCCCATGGGTTTGCCCAGAGACGTTTGGCCTATCTTCAGACCCCTCAAATGAGTTGTTTTATTTTGGTGTTCGCTTGAAAGCTGAGCCCAAAAGGGGGGGGTATCAACTCCAAAAAAGGCGAGTGACTCATTTTGGGGGAGCTTAGACCATTAGCATTTTGGCCAAGGGATTTTGTTTGAACCACTGCCAGCTCTTCAACTTTCTCATCAAGTTCGGGCTGTCGCGGGAGACGCCTGTGACTACGAGCTTGGGCACGCAGATAGGCCCGTTGCTTTTTCCAGACTCTTGCACTTATCTTCCGAAGTTGTCACAAATCCCAACGGCTTGGGTTTCTGTTCCCCATCATTTGCCGGTTCGCATCTTTGCAGCCGTTGAGTCCAAGAGAGTCCAAATCTGCAACCCCAGAGGCGTTGCTTCTTTTCGCGGCAGGCATTCCCTTGAACTTGCTGCTGGACGTGCTCGTAATCCACAGCCGCTTCCGGCGGTGTCAGGATTGCGCCTGAGTCTTTTCGGGACGAATCTGAGGGGCCACGGCTCCATAGGAGTCTTACCTTTGGGAGAGCCAGGCGGCAGGCGTGCTGACGATGCTTCTGAGCTTCAGCATTTGGCACCACTCGGAGGCCTGACGCCTGGCGCCCCTTGGCATTTTTTGTGATGCAGACCTGTGAGATCCTGTGAGGCCAAATCTGCAAAGGTCGCAGGACAGGGCGCAATGTGGATGAATGGAGGCCTTGATCCCAGAGGTTGCGCCATGGCCTCCACGTTCTCAGGCACTGAGTTGACTTATGCGGAAGCGGCCTTGCCAAAAGCGCCAGGAGCATCTGAGACCCTGCTGCCTGCCGAAGGGTAGATGGCGCTGGAGTGAGAGGTCAGGAGTCTCCGGCCATGGAAGAGCGAGAGAGAGAGATCCGCGCAAGAGAAGCTTTCAACATAATGACATAAGACTCATAATGACTCATGACATCAGATAGTAAGTGCTCAACTGGAAGCCTCATCATGCCAGAACTTTCTGCCCGCGCCAGCGCGGCTGCTGAACCTTTATGAGCCACGAAAGCGGGGCGAAAACGGGCGCGGATGGCGACAATTCGGCTCTTGGAGAACTCTTGGATCACAGCCGGTCCTGTGCAATTTGTGCCGCGAGCACGCCTCAAGTGCCGAAAAGTAGAGAAGGTTAGACCCCAGTCCAGTATGGGACTTAACGACAAGAATGACTTCCAGCTCCAAGTTTTGAAGGGATGCAAAGCGCGACCCCTGCAAACACAACAGACACTTCTCCAGCTGCAGCTGGAAGAGCGCAGCTTGCTGCACATCTCGTACGCGGAGTGCAGCTCTGCGGAGCGCTCGTTTCGGCCTGTCAAGCTCGCATCACCTGCGCAATGGTTGCAGAGGGTTGCCCGAACAAGCCCGAGGACACGCTAACAAGGTGGGAGTACGCGGGAGGGTTGGTTTACAGGTCCTTTTAGTTGTGGGCTGGTTCGACTGCAGGGTTCACCCCTCAAAACGGTTTGTTTCCTTGCATGTTGAAAACTATATTTGCTGGAGTGAATGAGTGGTTTCCCTTCTTGCCTTTGGCTTCCCAATGGGAACCCTCAAGTGAGCCCCAACTCGTCCGGGGTTCGGGGCGGTCGGCCGGACGCAAGGTGCGGTGCGGCCTGGAGGCTGGTTAGGGCTTTTGGTTTTGAAAGCATTGGAGCTTTGGTGGGTGCGTTTCATTGGTGATCTGCCAGTGATTTGCTATTGCTCTGTTGATCTCTAAATCGCTCGTCAGCTCGAATATAGCCGACTCAGCCGACTGCGCTGCTTCAGCTACTTGCCACAGATGAACATTATCAACACCGTCATCAACCTATGCACATCTATCGAGCTCAAGCATCAGAGTCAACGCCCATGACAGCAATATCGTCATGATTTCCAAACGCCAAACCTGGACACCCAGCTTCAGCATCAGGATTTGCAGGCTCAAGTTCAAGATCTTTGCAAGCATCGAATGTCATCCAGACAACACACACACACAAACTTCTGCTCCAGCGAGATTGATCTCCCGATTGCACTCTACGCGTGCGTTGGGTTGTTTGTTGCCAGGAGGAGTTCTTGATCGCGCCTTTGCTGATGGTTTTCAGTTCGATGGTGCTTGTCTCTGACCCCGTGCTTTGGATTGGGTTGGTAAAACAAACAAGAATTGATCCGTTTTGTCGTCGAGCCGAGGGGTCGAGTTTTAGCCTTCGTCCTCCGAAGGGATGTGAGACTCATTCGTTCCCTCTCCAATTCCATAGTTTCATAGCTTGACTCAAGCATCAGGATGATGATCCTTGCGTGTGGTCAAGGGTGAGATGGCAGGTCGGCCTGCGGTTGGACACAACATCCCTTGACCTCTTTGCAGAGGTGACGCAGGCATTGGCTTCAAACATGACCTGCAAGTGGCCCGATTTCCTTCTGCCCAGGACGTGCGCCAAGTGCAGCCCTCGCCACACCGAGAGAGGCCTCATGAGCAAGCTGGTGTGCTCTGGCCCCTTGGCGCGTGCCCTGGACCGCGGCGTGCTGATCGCGGCCCTGGCGAAGTTCTTCCATGTGAACCAGCCCGCCTGCCAAGCTCGCGTGACCCCATTGAGAGGGTGCTTTTTTGAGAAAGGACCCGAATATGCGGGTTGATTCCTAGTGTTCACGTATTCCCAACATGGCTATGACTTTAAATGGGATAAGTCCCTTGGCTGAAGCTGAGGCTGGGAAGGCTCACAGTTTGGCCGCTGCACCAGGCCTTGAACGAGGCCGGGGTTTGCGTCCGTTTTTTTGGCTCGCCTGGCTAAGAAGGGAAGCCCTGCAGAATCTTCTAGATTCTTCCCGTTTTCGAGTTTCCCCGGCTGCGGTTTTGAGGTGTACTGATTTGCTCTCGCCTGCGCCAGGCCTGGAGGCGCGGGTACCTTGTGTCGTTTTCCCCAAGCCACTGGGGCTGATCTTAGGAGACATTGGCCAACAGCGCTCAACACGGCCAACCAGAAACATCTTCGTTAACCATAGTAGAGCCTAAACTCAATGGGGTTTGAGTTGATTCATTCTGCCAGGCTGCAAAGATCCGGAGCACCTGGTCTTCATGCAGCTCGCCGGAGGTGGGCGCAAGCAAACGACCGGCCATGGTAGGGGACCCTGATACTCTCAGGCAATGCATACTCTTGTCTGTACTCGATGCTAGCGCTGCAAGTCCAGATGCTGCATTTGCCCATCAGTTGGCTCAATCGCATAGCTTTCTCTCGTCACCTTCCGGCTTTGCCTTACCGATCGCCATGCTTGGCATATACATCCTGGCGGCCCTGGCGCCTCTCAGCCTCGTGTCCTCCGTGTCCTCCGTGTCCTCCGTGTCCTTCGTGTCCTCCCAGCCTTCGTGCCCGTCACTCTTGCAGGCGCAGGGTTACTCGGCTCGGCTCTCAGGGCTCTCAGGGCTCTCAGGCCCGCGCCTGACCGAACCGTTCGAAGCCCTCGATGCCAGGCCTCGAAGCGAGTGGCTGCCCATCCCGACCCGATAGAGGAGCATGCGGGTTGCAGCGCTCTTTGCATCTTTGGAGATCTGGATGCCGAGAAGGTTTTGGTGGGCGACAACGGCACTGACTGGGCGTGCGTGGACATCCAGTCCTTCATCGTCAGCCACGCCAGCAGCGAGGATTGTCAGAATCTCATCGACCACTTTGCTCCGCTCTGCTGCGAGCGCCAGCAGCTGGGTGCTGACAGTGCGCGTGAGAGGGGGGGGGGAGTATGTACGATCTGTCGCTTGCGCGTTTGGCACAAGTGTCTATTCTAGTTAGTCTTTTTTGTCTAACTTGGGTAGAACAAATAGAACATTTAGGAAATTCGAGGGCCATGCTTGTCCAACTTTTCTATTTTCTAGTTCCCGTAGTCTTCCGGTAGTCTTGCAGTTTTCAAGCAGTCTTCACAGACCCACTTCCCGGAACTTTGGGACCATGTTTTCCTATTTGTTTTTCTAAATACAACAACTAGGACATTCGAGGGTGATTCCATCTTTTCTATTTATTCTAGTTCAATTAGTATAGAATAGCAAAGCTACAACATTCGAGTTGTTTTTTCTTTTTACTTCTTCTTCTGATTTTGACAAAGAAGTAGAGCACATAACATTCCAGGGCCATGTGTTTCCTATGTTTCCTAGTTTTTCCAGTTTCTCTAATTCCCTTAGTCTTCCTTTATGCAGTCTTCCTGTATTCCCAGACCCACTTCCCGGAATGGTGCGACCAATTTTTCTCACAAGTTAGGACATCCGCGGCCCATTTCTTTCGATTTTTCGATTCTTTGGGAAACATCGACAAATCGAAAACATCGAAAACGTAGGTCCCAGGATTCCGGGAAGGTCTAGGAAGGCTACGAAAGACTGCGGGAAGACGACGGAAGAGTACAGGAAGACAAAGAAAGACTACGGAAGACTACGCGAATTAGAAAAGGTAGTGACATTAGGAACTTCGAGAGCCATTTGTTTCTAGTTTTCTAGTTGTTCGATTTAAATTAGACAAGTTCTATTTTTGCCAGCTCTGTAGTCTTGCGGTAGTTTTGCAGTCTTCCCGCAGTCTTTCCAGACCCACTTCTCGGAATTTTGAGACCATTCTTTTTCTAACTGAATTAGACAACTAGAACGAATTTAAAATTTGAGGGCCTTGTTTTTCCATTGTTTCTAATTTAATTTGAACAACTAGATTATATTGGACATTCGAGTGCGTCTTTCTTCTTAGAACAGAAAGGAGAAAGAACAAATGCAAAAGAAGAAGCAATAGGTCCCAGGATTCCGGGAAGTGGGTCTGGGAAGGCTATGAAAGACTACATGCAAAACTACAGGAGACTACAGGAAGACTACAAAAGACTATGGGAAGACTGGGAAGACTCCGGAATTCAACAAATTGGAAAACATTGGAAACTCGAGAACACGGTTTTTCTATTTTTCCTAAGTTTTCTATTTTAATTAGAAAAAAACATAACCTGATAGAAGCCACGAACCCGAATGCGGACACGAAAGCGGACTCTCGCGTTGCCACTCTAGTCACGTTTCTATAGTCACGTCTCTGGTCACGTCTCTAGTCACGCCTTTGGTCACGTCTCTCGTAGCAACTCAAACCTTTCATCGTGTGTCTCGCCGCGCCTCTCGTCACGACTCTGTCACGACTCTGTCACGTCTCCCGTCACGTCTTTCTTGGCGACTCCCGTAACGTCCCTTTTCATGTGAGTCGTCACCCCTCGCGTCGCTTCTCTGGACTTTTATCACGTGTCTCGCTGCGCCTGCCGTCACGACTCCGTCGCGTTTCCCGCCGCGTCTTTCTTGCCTCTAAACGGGAACCCTTCTGCTGCGCATTCGGGAAAATGGGAACTCGAGGGCCCTTTTTTCTAGTTGTTCTATTTCCCGTAGTCTTCTTGTAGTCTTGCAGTCTTCCGACAGACTCCCCGCAGTCTCAATTTTAGGCCTTCGGTATGAGACCAGCATATGACGACTGTCAGCCTTCTTACAGCCTTTTTCCGATGTTTCTAATTGTTTAATGGACAGGAATGGACATGAAATGAAAGGCGCGGAATTGAAATGCAACTCAAAGGGAAAGGAAGGAAAACAACATGGCTAGACATTTCAGGGAAGAACTGGAAAGTAATGGAAAAAAGGAAAGGACATGAACAGGAAATAAGGAATGGAAAGGACATGAATTGGATGGAAAAGAAGGAAAATAATGAAAGGGCATGGAAAGGACTGGAAAGAGCATGAAAAGAACATTTGAGGAAATGGAAAGGAAGCTCGCCGCTTCAAAATTCTTACGCGGGACATTGACGAGCGCTTTCTCGGCCCGGCTGGCCTTGGGCACTTCTAGCTAGGAAGAAGGTGGACAGGAATAGATAGGAATAGATAGGAATGGATAGGAATGGAATTGAACGGAATTGACATGCAAAGGAATGAAAGTGACATAGGAAGGAACGGAAAGGAGATGGACAGACCTGCAAGGATACTCGCCACCTTTTTGTTACAACGCTCTTTTTTTTCGCCCGGACCTTTGACACCTCGAGCCAGGAATGGAAAGGACATGGAAAGGAAATCCGGCGATATAGACGCGGGCAATTGCGAGATAAGTGCTTTTCCGGGCCCAGATGACCTTGGTCACGTGTAGGTAGAAAGACTTAAAAAGGACTGCAAGGAATAGGACAAAACATGGAAGGAGGTTGACAGAAACAAGACGACATGGGAGCGAAATGGAATGGAAATCCTTGGAGTCTTTACTCTGGAAAATTATGACACGTGCACCTTTTAAGCCCCGACTCCGACTGGACCATTTTGATTTGTCTTTCTATTTCTTTCCATGTCCTTTTGTTCCCTTGCATTGGCTTTAGTTCCTTTCCAATCCCT